ACCCCAACCAAAAAAAAAAAAAAAAAAAAGTAGAAAGAATTCGAATAAGCAATTTAATAATGTATCTCAAAGAACTAGAAAAGCAAAAGCAAAACAAACCCAAAATTAGTAGAAAGAAAGGATAAAGATAAGAGTAGACCAAGGCCGGGCTCGGTGGCTCAACCTGTAGTCCCGGCACTTTGGGAGGCCAAGGCAAGTGGATTGCCTGAGACTACAGGTTCGAGACAAGCCTGAGAAACTTGGCAAGACCTCATCTCTACAATAAATCAAAAAATTAGCCTGGTGTGGTAGCACGCGCCTGTAGTTCCAACTACTTGGAAGGCTGAGGCTGAAGGATCACCAGAGCCCAGCAGATCAACACTGGGGTGGCTGTGAGTGTCCCACTGCACTCCAACCTGGGTGATAGAGTGAGACTCTAACTCAAAAAAAAAAAAGGCAGACCTAAATAAAATAAAACTTAGAAAAAAACTACAAGGGACCAGTGAAAATTGTTTTTAAAAAGATTAACAGTAGGCTGGGCTCGGTGGCTCAGCCTGTAATCCTGTGCTTTGGGAGGCCGAAGTGAATTGCCTGAGCCCGCGGGTTCGAGACCCACCTGAGCAACTTGGCGAGACCTCACCTCTACAATAAATTTTTAAAAAAATTTGCCGGGCATGGTAACGCGTGCCTGTAGTTCCAGCTACTTGGAAGGCTGAGGCGGAAGGATTGCCAGAGCCCAGCAGGTCAAGGCTGCGGTGGCTGGGAGTGTGCCACTGCACTCCAGTCTGGGCAACAGAGTGAGACTCCAACTCTAAATAAATAAATAAATAAATAAATAAATAAATAAATAAATAAAAAGATTAACAAAAAACTGCTAGCTAGACTTACCAAGAAAAATGAACCCAAATAAACAAAATCAGAAAGGAAAAAAAGGTATTACACATTACAACCGATACCACAGAAATACAAAAGATAATCAGAGACAATTATAAAGAACTATACAAACCTAGCGGAAGTGGATAAATTTCTGGACACATACAACCTACCAAGACTGAATCAGGAATAAACAGAAAACCTGAATAGCCCAATAATGAGTAATGAGATTAAATCAGTAATAAAATCTCCCAACAAAGAAAAGCTCAGGACCAGATGGCTTCACTTTGGTAGATGCCAAACTCTACCAAACTTACAAAGAACTAATAGCAATTCTCCTTAGACTATTCCAAAAGCATTCAAGAGGATTTCTCCCTAACTCATTATGTGAAGCCAACATTACCCTAATACCACAATCAGACAAAGATGCAACAAAAAGAGAAAACTATAGGCCAATATCCCTGATGAATATAGATGCAAAATCAACAAAATACTAGCAAACAAAACCCAACAGCACATTTAAAAAATAACACACCATGATCAAGTGAGATTTATCCCAGGGATGCAAGGTAAATCAATAAATGTGATATATCAACAGAATGAAGGACAAAACATGGACAATTATCAC